TCTAGGTGAAGTAGAGCTTGGTCATACAGAATGTGAAAAAGACTTGGGAGTCATGGTAAGCAGAAATCTAAAGCCAAGACAGCAGTGCCTTAGTGTGCGCAACAAGGCCAACAGATTACTTGGATATATCTCAAGAAGTATAAGTAACAGAAGTCCAAAAGTTATTTTGCAGCTCTATACATCACTAGTGAGGCCTCATTTAGATTATGCTGCTCAGTTTTGGTCTCCTTACTACAGGATGGATATAGACTCATTAGAGAGCATACAGAGAAGAATGACTAAAATGATTTACTGTGTAAGGAACCTCCCGTATGAAGATAGACTTAAAGCCTTAAATCTCCACTCTCTGGAGAGGCGTAGAATGAGGGGAGATATCATTGAAGTGTATAAGTGGATGACAGGCATAAACAAGGGAGATATTAATAAAGTACTGAGGGTGTCGAACCAGGTAAGAACCAGAAATAATGGATATAAGTTGGATAAATTTAGATGTAGAAAGGACATAGGTAAGTACTGGTTTTCTAACAGAGTTGTAGATGCGTGGAACAGTCTTCCTAGTGGGGTGATAGAGGCTAGGACCTTGTGTAGCTTTAAGAAGAGACTGGACAAATATATGAGTGGGAGGGGCTGGGTTTGATTGGTGCCATTGGGTACGGGAGTTATTTCTTGGGTGGCTTTAGGTAGAGATCGTTTTGATAAGGACCTGCCTCGTATGGGCCAGTAGGCCTTCTGCAGTGTTCCTACATTCTTATGTTCTTATGTTCTTATGAACACAAGAACGATGGAACACTGCAATAGGCCTACTGGATCATACTGATCAGGTCTAATTCACACCCATCTACACCCACTCCTCTACCCGTCAAACACTAAGGCTATCCAAAATTCTTGCCTCAGTGATGCTACCTGAGGTTTTTTCTTCTTATCTACAACTCTGATGCCAATCCAGTGCTTCCCAATATTCTTTCTGCATCTAAATTTGTCCAACTTGAATTCATTATTACGAGTTCTATCTTAGTAAGAAATTTTCAACAAACAATTCATATCTTTTCTTGTTTACCATTCTATACTTCAGTCATATCTCCCTTAATTCTACAAAATGAACATAAGTCCTTACAGTAAAATTGAGATCATAATATAAATGAGGCCTTAACCTTCCAGCTGCCCTTACTTTTATACAGACAATTTTCGAAAATTCGTTTCCTTGCTATAACTTCAGAAAGCCTCTTAGAAGAAAGTTGAAAATGTTAAAGAAGTGTGTAGGTGCCACTTTTAATATCGAAATCTTAGTATTATTTTGCGTTAAATTACTGGGGAAAGCCACCTCAAGTGCGACGCCTTGATGCAGGTGAAGGGCTCTTGATCCAAAGAATTGGATTAATTCTTCCCTTCCTTGGATTTAATGTGAATGTCTCCCATTTCCTTGGCGTTATAAGACCCCTTGGGGTTTAGTACTTTCTTCTGATTCAAGTAACGCAATTCTGAACGGCATCCGTAATTAATGGTTTATGTATCTTATGAAATGAATAAAACTGTTTAGGCTTTGTTGGATTCTGTGAAATAACCGGAAAATGCAGCGCCTTGTCGGGTTCATACATTTAATGTTGAAGTGTTTTCCTCAAAGGATGTGTAAATTTCAATAAGTTAATTTTACTAAATAATTTGTCGTCCCTGAAATACCAAAATAATGTCTCTTTTGGTCATAAATTAAGCAGTGTTTGACTTTAATGAATTATCCAAGATTAAATCTACAGATGCTCGTGGCTTGGTTGGAAACGTCCTCAGTTAGGAATCGATCCCCGGCACTAAGTAGATACCTTGGTATTAGCCGACTGCTATGGGCCATATCCTGAGTGACAAAATTAACCTAAGTTGCCCGAAAAGCTCTACATAACAAGAGTTCAGCTCCATGAACTCTTCACTCTTAGCAAGCCGCTAACCAGACTGAGAGTCGAAGATCTAAATGAATTTTTTATGAGAAAGCCACAGAATTTGGTAAACACAAACCTATCTGATGTTATCCTGACGCCAAATGACTTCGAACAGGAGATAAATGACATGCCCATGCACTCTGCCCCATGGCCAGACTCATGGAACTCCGTGTTCATCAAGAACTGCAACTAATTTTAGGTCACTGATAATGAATATCATGGTTAAAATTGTTTGTTAGCTCTGCTTTTCGATATACACCTACATGTTCCAACAGGTTCCAACAGGCTTACGGTAGTGTTTCTTATCACACTCACAGTCATAGAAGGTGGTTGTGCTGTGCAAGTTTAAATTTTGAGGTGAAAGGTAGGTGATTTTCTTAGCCAAACAGGGCGGATACACCAAGTACTGCTGCTGTTTATGTGAATGGGACAGTCGTGCAAGAGGTTCCCACTACATCAGGAGAGACTGGCCACCTCGTCAATCATTGGAGCCTGGGATGGAAAATGTTCAACATCCATCTCTCATTGAACCAAACAAAATTTTGCTACCACCACTATACATAAAACTGGGGTTCATCAAAAATTTGTAAATGATATGGACAAATCCGGTCAGGGGATTCAAGTATTTAACATCAAAATTCCCCTCACTGAGCAACTCTAAGAGTCTTCAATAGTCCTCAGATTCAAGAACTTCTTAAAGATGGTGACTATGAATCAGACCTTCATGGGGAGGAGAAAGCTACTTGAGAGGCTCTCTCGGAAACAGAAGGGAAGGCAACTATGAAGAATTGATGGAAAACCTCATCAAGGCTTACAAGAACATGGGATGTAACATGTCACTTAAAATCTACTCTTTGGACTCACATTTAGGTTTTTTTCCAGCGAACTGTGGGGCAGTTAGTGACGAATATGGTGAAAGGTTTCATCAAGATATTTCAACCATGGAAAAATGGTATCAGAATGGGACACAAGAATGCTTGCAGACTGTTTCTGGACATTGGCAACTGGGCCACCTAGCTGGCCCAATTGCTAACGCGTCGGTCTGGAGTTTTTTGACTCTGAGTCGAGTCTGATCGCGTGTTCTAACCTCGCCCTTGGTATGGTTTGTTTGCAATAGTGTCATTACGATTTCGTGAGTCAGAGAACAAGCAACACCTGGGCTTTCCTGACCCAGGTAAGACTCAAGTAACTCACAGCTTCTTCAGCCCACTATAAGCGTCAAGCAAAAAGGCAAAGAGTAGGTACGGATTAGAGTATAAGACATACTAATACATGTACGCTATAATAAAATAATAAAATATTACATGTCTCATATATTTAAACCTATAACCAAAAAGCATTTTCCAATGTGATATTTGGATTTAGGACATGAAAATACTTAAGAATTAATTAATCTCACTTAAGAAGCATAAAACTTTTCAAAAATTGTTGACCAGTGTTACATCATATTTACGTCGCTACTACACCTGCGGCTTCTGTATCTGGCTGAAGAAGTTTACTGTGTAGGCGATACGTTTCAACAGTAAAGACACTCAACTGTTGCACATGCGTTTTACTCATCAACTTGTCCTTATTTTATACCATTTTCAACACAGCTAGAGCTGTAACAGTTGCATCAAGTACTTGTATAAATAAAGATTAGTATTATTATTATTAATGTATTTTATGTGTCGTTACATGTATGTGCCCTCAATATCACTGTCAAAAATTTGAATGCTACAATGAAAGTCTAAATGGAGCTTGTTTGCTTACTTTCTTATTTATTTCCGTACATTATTAAGTACTTATTAAGATACCTGAGATACTGCTCAGTCTTAATTAAGAAACAACTTGAACTGATTGTGCCTGTGAACGTCCTCTTTTATGGGAGAAATTTGGAAAAAATTGTTACATAAAATGTAACAGTTTTTAAGTGCCCAGTCCGATTCGCTCTAACCCTTCAACGCTGATAACTTAATACGATAATGTAGCTTCAAACAGGCACCAAACTTAATGTGTTGATGTCTTGATTAGAATACTGACCTGTCTGAGATAACAGGAGTATTGCCTCTCAAGGTTAACTTCAAAACTGGAAGGTTTGAATAAATTTAGCGTTGGGTGTGTGCGAATTTGCCATTTTATTATTTTTCTGTTTTGAAGAAACTGGTATATTAGTTTCCGTACCATAACTTGGATTCTTCAAATTCTCTTCAAATCTTTAACGCTAACACATATCTGCATTAGAAACTTCCTTTGAGCTCTGCACTCTTCCACTCGCATGTATTAAGATGCAGGGGAGATGAAGTTATGCAATACGAGGATATGTTTCTCATATATCAAACCCACCGAAGTATAGTTCACGAAATCGTAATAACACGATCGTAAACAAAGCCAAGGAACGGGTGAGGTTTGAACCAATGGCGAGTGAATCGTAAAACTCCAGGACAGTGCGTAAGCCTCTCAGCCGTGTTGCTTACACACTGGCCTGGAGTTTTACGACTTATTCGACCGAATTACAGCTAGTTCACTCTGTCCTCAGTCACACATATTATTCATAGAAGAATTATTTGTTATAAATTAACTTATATTTCATAACTGGCAGAAGAGATGCTGAACTAAAATAGAACTTTAGCATGATGGAAACAAACAAGTTGTATCTCATCCAGTCGACCCTGTCATAAGAAAGAATTTTCATGATCACTTGCTTCCTAGCAACATTTTCTGAAGAGTACACACATCCCCACCCCGTCTTAAAATTGCTAAAGCAGCGTCACGATGTAAAATCCCAAGGCAAACGTACTGCCAGTTTGATCTAATATAATAAATATACCTAATGAATGCAGAGATCTCAGAAACTTCTTTGAAAATTTCTCAGAAATTTATGACAAATTTCACAAAAATCTAAGAAAAAAACATTTCATAAAACTGTATAAAAATCAGAATTAAGCTTTAAAATTTTCTGAAACTTAATTCAGAAAATTATGAAAAACACAATAAAATCAACAAAAAAAAAAATCCCAGTAAACAATGGAAAATTCCTTTAAATTTAAAAACAACAAACTTTGAGTTCGGTGATAAGAGAGACAAACTTACCATTGACAAGAGTGTGGAGGTCGTCCGGGTGACTGAGATAGTTAGGGTCGATTACAGGAAGATCACGAGGGTGTTTTGATCTGAGGAAGACTGCCCCACGGCTCTTGGGTCGTAGCAAGATCAGGTTGATTGTGAAACCTTGTCTCCCAAACAGCGACCTCGAGTACTCTATGTATTTCTAAAAACACACAGAAACATCAAATTTGTATAATAAAATTTATATCAAATATTTTCGTGGGTTCATAGACATTCATGCAGACCAATCTTTGTGATAATATTTAGCTCTGTGAAAACCTTAAACAGTCAAAACAAAAGATTCACAAGCTAATACAATGTAAGAGTTGTCACAGTTGAGTTTTGTTGATGACACTTTGCTTTTGGGAGATTTCGAAGAGAAGCTTCGAAGGTTAGTGGACGAGTCGGGAAGGAATGTGAAAGAAAGAAATTAAAAGTAAATATAGGAAAGCGCAAGTTGAAGAGAGTATAAAAATAATAGGTATTGAAAGACGGGATATCAGAATGGAAAGAGGGAGTATGCAAGAAGTGAATGTACTCACCTAATTGTTGTTGCAAGGGTCGAGCGGGGAGTGGACTTGTCGGAGGACAGGTCTTTGAAAGAGGCGGCGAGCTATAGAATAAGCGAGGGGAAAAAGGTGGATACAGGAGGAATCTGCTTATATGGCAGGTTTGGTTTCAGGATATCGCCTTCTAGCGAAAAATCACCGTAAAGCAAATAACTCTTTTTTTTCACACTGGAAACATTGGGTACCTGGGTATTAGTCGACTGGTGTGGGTCGCATCTTGGGACAAAATTTATCTAATTTGCCCGAAATGCTCAGCATAACAAGGGGCTTTCTGTAAAGTAGTATGTTATTGATGTCAGCTAGGACTGTATACCTTGTACATGTTTACCTGGAGTTTACCTGGAGAGAGTTCCGGGGATCAACGCCCCCGCGGCCCGGTCTGCGACCAGGCCTCCTGATGGATAAGAGCCTGATCAACCAGGCTGTTACTGCTGGCTGCACGCAATCCAACGTACGAGCCACAGCCCGGCTGGTCAGGTACCGACTTTAGGTGCTTGTCCAGTGCCAGCTTGAAGACTGCCAGGGGTCTTTTGGTAATCCCCCTTATGTATGCTGGGAGGCAGTTGAACAGTCTCGGGCCCCTGACACTTATTGTATTGTCTCTTAACGTGCTAGTGACACCCATGCTTTTCATTGGGGGATGTTGCATTGTCTGCCAAGTCTTTTGCTTTCGTTGTGAGTGATTTTCGTGTGCAAGTTCGGTACTAGTCCCTCTAGGATTTTCCAGGTGTATATAATAATGTATCTCTCCCGCTGCGTTCCAGGGAATACAGGTTCAGGAACTTTAAGCGCTCCCAGTAATTGAGGTGTTTTATCTCCGTTATGCGCGCTGTGAAGGTTCTCTGTACATTTTCTAGGTCAGCAATTTCACCTGCCTTGAAAGGTGCTGTTAGTGTGCAGCAATATTCCAGCCTAGATAGAATAAGCGACCTGAAGAGTGTCATCATGGGCTTGGCATCCCTAGTTTTGAAGGTTCTCATTATCCATCCTGTCATTTTTCTAGCAGCTGCGATTAATACAATGTTATGCTCCTTGAAGGTGAGATCCTCCAACATGATCACTCCCAGGTCTTTGACGTTGGTGTTTCGCTCTATTTTGTGGCGGGAATTTGTTTTGTACTCTGATGAAGTTTTAATTTCCTCATGTTTACCATATCGGAGTAATTGAAATTTCTCATCGTTGAACTTCATATTGTTTTCTGCAGCGCATTGAAAGATTTGGTTGATGTCCGCCTGGAGCCTTGCAGTGTCTGCAATGGAAGACACTGTCATGCAGATTCGGGTGTCATCTGCAAAGGAAGACACGGTGCTGTGGCTGACACCCTTGTCTATGTCAGATATGAGGATGAGAAACAAGATAGGAGCGTGTACTGTGCCTTGTGGAACAGAGCTTTTCACAGTAGCCGCCTCGGACTTTACTCTGTTGACTACTACTCTCTGTGTTCTGTTTGTGAGGAAATTATAGATCCATCTACCAACTTTTCCTGTTATTCCTTTAGCACGCATTTTGTGCGCTATTACGCCATTGTCACACTTGTCGAAGGCTTTTGCAAAGTCTGTATATATTACATCTGCATTCTTTTTGTCTTCTAGTGCATCTAGGACCTTGTCGTAGTGATCCAGTAGTTGAGACAGACAGGAGCGACCTGCTCTAAACCCATGTTGCCCTGGGTTGTGTAACTGATGGGTTTCTAGATGGGTGGCGATCTTGTAGAAATAAAGATTTTATTGTTATTAGTATTATATATGCCTGATAACATGTTTATACTATCATATATTAAATTAGCAGTAGAAGTAGGCATAAAAAATATTAAAAAAAAAGTAAAATGTATATATAATACACGATGTGGAAACTTATTTGGTCTACCTAAGCTTTGCGAGCCCCCACATCCACCCAAAACAAACACAGACACACACACACACACACACACACACACACACACACACACACACACACACAAGGGAAACAGAAATAATGGGAAGAACAGAACGAGTCCTTGGTTCACCCAAAGATGTAGGGAGGCAAAAACTAGGTGTACTAGAGAATGGAAAAGGTACAGAAGACAGAGAACTCAGGAAAATAAAGAAATCAGCCGAAGAGCCAGAAACTAATATGCACAGATAAGAAGGGAGGCTCAGAGACAATATGAAAATGACATAGCATCAAAAGTAAAGACTGACCCGAAGCTGTTGTACAGCCACATCAGGAGGAAAACAACAGTCAAGGACCAGGTAATCAGACTGAGGAAGGGTGATGGGGAATTCACAAGAAACGACCGAGAGGTATGTCAGGAGCTCAACACAAGATTTAAAGAGGTATTTACAGTGGAAACCAGTAGGACTCCAAGAAATCAGAACAGGGGGGCACACCAGCAAGTGCTGGATGAGGTACATATAACCAAGGAGGAGGTGAAGAAGCTGCTATGCGAACTTGACATCTCAAAGGCGGTGGGACCAGACAACATCTCTCCATGGGTCCTTAAAGAGGGAGCAGAGATATTGTGTGAGCCATTAACAAAGATCTTCAACACATCATTTGAAACTGGGCAACTCCCTGAGGTATGGAAAATGGCAAATGTAGTCCCAATTTTTAAAAAGGGAGACAGACATGAGGCACTAAACTACAGACCTGTATCACTAACGTGTATAGTATGCAAGGTCATGGAGAAGATCATCAGGAGGAGAGTGGTGGGGCACCTGGAAAGAAACAAGTGTATAATTGACAACCAGCACGGTTTCAGGGAAGGAAAATCCTGTGTCACAAACCTACTAGAGTTTTATGACAAGGTGACAGAAGTAAGACAAGAGAGAGAGGGGTGGATCGACTGCGTATTTTTGGACTGCAAGAAGGCTTTCGACACAGTTCCTCACAAGAGGTTACTGCAAAAGCTAGAGGACCAGGCAAACATAACAGGAAAGGCACTGCAATGGATCAGAGAATATCTGACAGGGAGGCAACAACGAGTCATGGTACGCGACGAGGTGTCAGAGTGGGCGCCTGTGACAAGCGGGGTTCCACAGGGGTCAGTCCTAGGACCTGTGCTGTTCTTGGTATACGTAAACGACATAACGGAAGGGATAGACTCAGAAGTGTCCTTGTTTGCAGACGATGTGAAGTTAATGAGAAGAATCGAATCGGACGAGGATCAGGCAGGACTACAAAGAGATCTGGACAGGCTACAAGCCTCGTCCAGCAACTGGCTCCTTGAATTTAACCCTGCCAAATGCAAAGTCATGAAGATTGGGGAAGGGCAAAGAAGACCGCAGACACAATATAGTTTAGATGGCCAAAGACTGCAAACCTCACTCAAGGAAAAAGATCTGGGGGTGAGTATAACACCGAGCATATCTCCTGAGGCGCACATCAATCAGATAACTGCTGCAGCATACGGGCGCCTGGCAAACCTACGGATAGCGTTCCGATACCTCAGTAAGGATTCGTTTAAGACTCTGTACACCATCTACGTCAGGCCCATACTGGAGTATGCAGCACCATTTTGGAATCCACACCTAGTCAAGCACGTCAAGAAATTAGAGAAAGTGCAAAGGTTTGCAACAAGACTAGTCCCAGAGCTACGGGGATTGTCCTATGAAGAAAGGTTGAGGGAAATCGGCCTGACGACACTGGAGGCCAGGAGGGTCAGGGGAGACATGATAACGACATATAAAATACTGCGCGGAATAGACAAGGTGGACAAAGACAGGATGTTCCAGAGATGGGACACAGACACAAGAGGTCACAATTGGAAGTTGAAGACTCAGATGAATCGAAGGGATGTTAGGAAGTATTTCTTCAGTCATAGAGTAGTCAAGTCGTGGAATAGTCTAGAAAGTGAAGTAGTGGAGGCGGGAACCATACATAGTTTTAAGGCGAGGTATGATATAGCTCATGTAGCAGGGAGAGAGAGGACCTAGTAGCAATCAGTGAAGAGGCGGGGCCAGGAGCTATGACTCGACCCCTGCAACCACAAATAGGTGAGTACAAATAGGTGAGTACACACACCAAGCAGGGATAACAGGGAAGGCACTACAATGGATCAGGGAATACTTGTCAGGAAGCAGCGAGTCATGGTACGTGGCGAGGTGTCAGAGTGGGCACCTGTGACCAGCGGGGTCCCACAGGGGTCAGTCCTAGCACCAGTGCTATTTGTGAACGACATGACGGCAGGAATACACTCCGAAGTGTCCCTGATTGCAGATGACATGAAGTTGATGAGAAAAATTCATTCGATCGATGACCAGGCAGAACTACAAAGAGATCTGGACAGGCTGCAGAACTGGTCCAGCAATTGGCTTCTAGAGTTCAACCCCACCAAGTGCAAAGTCATGAAGATTAGGGAAGGGCAAAGAAGACCGCAGACGGAGTACAGTCTAAGAGGCCAGAGACTACAAACCTTACTCAAGGAGAAAGATCTTGGGGAGAGTATAACACCAGGCACATCTCCTGAAGCGCACATCAACCAAATAACTGATGCAGCATATGGGCGCCTATCAAACCTCAGAACAGCATTCCGACATCTTAATAAGGAATCGTTCAGGACCCTGTACACCGTGTACGTTAGGCCAATATTGAAGTATGCAACACCAGTTTGGAG